TAAATAGTTCAAACACATTTTTCAAGAAAGTCGAGAATCTTTGAAGGGCTTACGTACCTGATTGTAATCATTAATGTTGGTGGAAGAAATACCATCGGGCGAACTTGAATCATTGTCTCCGGCTATTGGATGATGATCCTCCACGCTCTCTCCCGTGTCTCGGACCAGAGCCCGAGTAGCAGAATTGGCGAAATCGCACTTTAATTTCCGCACTGAGTAGGGGAGTCTGAAATCGAACTTTGAAGACGCCAAGAAAAGAGACTGGCTTCGTCCCACCACCACTTGCGAAGCCATAGTTGAAGATGAAGAAGAAGGAGGTGGCCTAATCATCAAGTTGAAGCTTTGCTGCAATGCCATTTCAGGCTTTTCTTCTAAGTTCTAGCTCTGTTTCTCTATTATGATTTGCCTTGGCATCTTAATATGCGGGTGGAAACGAACTAACAAAGAGGGAAAGAAAGGGAGAGGATGGCGGGGCAAGAAATCCGTGAAAGAAAAGTGAAGGTGGGGTTACGGGATCCGGTGTTACATTGTACAGTAAAATTAGTTTACTACGTCACTTTCAATTTCTGGGCTGATTTCCTGTGCACTACACAGAACACACGTGTGGAAGAAGGGATAGGATAGAATAGAATAGAATATTACACTCTTTGCCGGCCCACAATTAGTAGTGTAGTATTACACATTTTTTTAAAAAAATAAATGCATACAAATTGCCAAATAAAATTTCATTTTAAATTTATGTGACACATGAATATGATTTCGTTTTGTTCATAATAATACATCCACAATCTACCATATTCTTGAATCTCGAAAATGTTTATATAAGACATAAGGATTTTTTTAACGAGTTCTCTCACTCATTATAAAATATTTAAAATATATCTAATCTAACGTATAGATACACGTTAACAATTGTTACGTTATTTTATATTTATATATATATTTTTAATTAATTTTACTTTTCTTAAAATTTAACACATGAATTTCATCTCACTCGTCAGACAAACTCAAAATTCAATTAATCGTCAATTATATTATATGTGTAATTATATGATAGTTCATGATAGTAAAGATTGATCCTGCCGGCTTCTAAACTTAAAACAACAAAAAAAAAAGTATGTAAAATAAAATGTGATTAAAGAACGTGTAAAAAAAAAAATTTTAAGTATTGAGGAGAGTTTGATAAATAACCCATCCAAAACGTCAAAGACACGCTACCATTCTTAATTTAGGAAAAAAAAAACTCAATTAAAATTATTGCAGCTGATCTGTTAGTGCGGCAGGCAGTCCAACCGAAAAAAGTAACATGATTTTTATACCCCTAACTTTGAAACGCTACCTAAAAGCTAAGCCATGGTACAGCTGCCAAAATCAGCATTCTCTGTGGGTTTGGATATTAGCGTAAATTTCAAGCTCTAACGTGATATATTTGGTCAAATTAACAGTATGCAAGTTCAATTTCAGCTAGGGCTGAAAACATGTCTCAACGAACCGGACAGAGGTTTGTTCATAATTTGTTTGAAGATTAAAATGAGTGTTTGAATTTGATGTGTGCTTGATAATTTTTTAAAAGAAATTGATTGAGATTAGTTTGATATTTTAAATGTTTGTTCACGAAAAGTTTAGATTGGCTTATCAAAGTATCGAGTTCAAGCACATCCAATTAGGGATGGCAACGGGGCGGGGTTGGGGTCCCCCGTTGCCTATTAGTTCCCCCCGTCCCCCGTTTCTTGCTCCCCCCGCCCCCGTCCCGCCTTGCCCCGCTTCCCCCGCAGGGGCACCCGCGGGGTTAATAAAATTTTATTATATAATTTTATTATAATTAAATTTTAATAAATAATCAAGTACTAAAATATCAACACATCACCAAATTATTATTCATTGTAATTTTACAATTGAAACTCATAAAAACAATCAAACAGAAGTTATTTGAATACAATCCAATATGATGAAATAAATATAACTAAAATAGTCAAATTTTCACTTTTAGTACAAATGCAATCACTAATTCATCATTGTGTTTGTGCTTTTTTTTTGAGAAAAAAGTGTTATTCTATTAAGTGTAATTAGAAATTTAGTATAAATGTATTAGTAAATTTAGTATAACTAATTAATAAATTCTATTAGTAGACATGTATAATTATTCATATAATTGATAATATCAATTATATTACATAAACTAATATACATTATATAATACATCTAACTAATAATATCATTATCATAAGTTTATAACTAATTAACTTACATATAATATATAGTCATTTTTATATATATTTATATATATACATTTTTTTTTGTTTTGCGGGTGGCGGGGCGGGGGATGGGGCGGGGGTATACTCCCCCGCCCCCCGCCCCGTTTCTAAGCGGGGGGAAATAATTCCCCCCCCCGCCCCAACCCCCGCTGCCATCCCTACATCCAATCAAAACTTGGTTTGGCTTGGTTTGAAATTTCATATTATATTATATAGAGATTTTCACTCTAATTTGTTGCTTTTTTCACTTAAATTTTGCTCTATGATATTTAAGAAATCAATTACGATGAATTAGGGACGTGATTAAAATCAATTATGCTTTTTTAAGAAATCCATTTGTGATGAATTAGGGATGAAATTAAAATCAACTTGCTATTTTATAAGGGAAGGAAAGAAGTGAAGTTAAGGAAGAAAACTATAAGTATATTTTTATGAAATTTATTTGTCTTATATGTTCTTGAACATCGTGAAGATTGTGATTGGTTACTTAATATTTTCTAACTAGAAATCATGTTCGAGTTTGGATTGATATCTAAACAAACAGATTTGAACGAGTTTAGTTCAAGTCAAAACTCAAGCCGAGTATCAAGATATTTGGTTCGATTCATTGCCTTAATTTCAGCCTAAGCACTATCCTTAATTGTTTAATCATCCATGCGTGCTTTGCCACCAGTTGGCTTTAATACAAATAAGCTCCAGTTCCAAATCTTATATTTATCATCCGAAGGAAATTTTCAAATACTATTAACTCTGAAAAACAGTAACAAACATATTGACACAAAAAAGTGACAAAGATTCAAAGCATATTCAAGCCTTCCAAATACCCAAAAAAAAAAAAAAAGAGCTTCTCAAAAAATTATTTATAAGCACAAAAATTCAAAAATCAAGAAATGCCTATAATAAAAAAGATATTCAAATACAAGTATATTACTAACCAAAAACGGATATAGTACAAGACAAGAGTAATACATCACCGGTGTGAATTTGTGGAGCTCCGAGAAACTAAATAATTTCAAAAAAAAAAAAAATTATGCAACTTCATCTGGAATCATCTTTTCATGGGTTTTGATCCATTTTCATTTCTTCTCCTTCACAATCTTGGCTCCAGGACCCCCAAGAAACTAGGAGACTAGGAAATGCATTGTGCCTTGTTTTATAGATGAATTGCCTATTGAGAGTACGCCCAAGAAACCAGTTTAAAGGCGTGGTTTGAGCAGCAAGTCAAAGACTTACGTCTTCAAATGCCTTATAAAGGCGGAAACGAAGAGTAACCGAACAAAGATCACGCTTCAGCTCATACCTCGAAGGCTGCGCATGAAAGCGTGTGCTATATCAATGGAAAAGCAAGCACGCTTTCCCCTAGAGGAGTAGTTGTTTGAGACACTGAGAATGACACCCACAATCAATTTTCTTGACTTGTCAAGTTGAAGATTATATATATATATATAATCTGCTACTTTTAGAGGATTACTTGATGCATGCTAAAGTCATAATTTGAAATAGTTAGACAAAAGTAGCAAAAGCCAATAGTCTCTTGGACTGTTGGTTCAATCATTGTCTCTCATCTTGTCATTTAATTGTGATTTCTTCCGACGGGAAATCTTGTCGGCTTCCCCTTCCCTTAAACTAGACTATAGTAGATTATACAAATGTTATCGTTGCGCAAAAAAAAAAAAAGACAAAAGTAGCAAAAAATGACTAATAATGGGTATTTGCTAGTAATGTACATTATGCTTCTGCTTCTGTCATACTTTGACTTAATTTTGTTCACTCTTTCATAGTTTCATCTTGATCAGAAACTGGCTAGTTTCTTTGTTTTGGTAGAAGTTCTGCCGCGCGAAGGCCAAAATCACCGAGAAAGAGCCGCAAAACACCACCACCACCCTCTGGCCATATAATGTATTTAAATACAGGTATTATCTGCATTAATTAGTAAATGGCTGAATAAGAACATCAATCAATCAACAAGAGCCATTGGATTGTTTGACTTTTACTGTTTTGAGCATGATTCCTGCAAATGCAAATTGCAAACCATGTGGAGACAACCATCATTACACACTTGTATAGGGCCATTCTGGTTAAAGTGACTTTTTTGAACAGTTGACTGTTGTAAATCATGATTAATGTGTATGATTTTTTAAGTTTCCAATTATTCCACAGTCCAGCATCAAAGTTCGCAGCATTATCATTGCGGTTGGCTTTACAGAAAGATGATTGCAGTATATATATTTTCACTAGATCTTCTTGCATATCTTAAAAGGGTGTCGACAAAAGCAACACCAGCTTTTCTCTGCCGGCCCCCGCATAAATCATGGCTATCCAACTAGCCTGTATTGTCGATCTATCTACATCCATGAATCATTGGTCTAAGACTTGATGCAGTTCATGTCCAGCATTTTGCCTTGTGATTGGTAGGGGAACTTACAAGCTCAAAGAAGTTAGAAGCGACTAGTTTCTTGTTAGGTTTTGATTTCAGCTAAGAAAAATGTACCATTCTTGGAACAATATAGTAATGAATTTTGCTACATTCATGACAATATGTCCTGATTTTTTTTAACTCGTAAAAACCCTCAAGTGCAGGAAGAATCTAGGTAGGATACAAAGAAAATAAATGTCTGCAGTAGACCTTATTGTGTTCTTGGCAAATAAGTCTTGATTAAGTAAACCAATTATAGTACAACATTGGCAGCAAAATGAGAAAAGAATCCTGCAGCTTATAGAATTGGATATGTGCTTCCAGCCATTATTAGCTCTCCATACATAAACATCTAGGCAAACATTTGAAAAGCTGATTACAATTTACATCATGTACAAGTTGGAAATTCTTGTTCCAACCGTGCACGCCTTATGTTATTACTACTAACTGGTCAAATTCAAACACCCCCCCCCCCCCTAATTCCTCACTATATTCTCCTTCCCTTCTTTCACTATACACAAACGAGCATTATGCAAACATGTGATCATAAGACAAACCAGCATGATAGCAGCAGAACTCTCAGAATCCAATTCCTAGATTGCCATCATAAAAATGACTGATGATATCTTCGTCATGTAACATATATTCCAACCTAAACTTAACTTAGGTTTCCACTTCTGTTACTCAATCCCTGCAAAATCTTTAACGGTGAAGCCAACTTTCTCAAACTTTCCCTTTTCATTGTTCTCTCTGAATTTCAGGTAATCTGAGCAAACAAAGGGCTTGTAAATCCTTGAATTTTCCCTGCCTACCACTTCATCAGGTGCCAATATAATTTTTTCATCCTCAAAGCACCAAAAGAAAGCTAGAGAGAACCGATTCACAAGCTTTCTAAGAACAACACGGTGCTCAGATGACCTGAACTTGTCATTGCTCCAAGCTTGCAAGACGTCACCAATATTGACCACTAGTGTCCCTTCACAAGGGACAATGTCCATCCATTTTCCTTCCCTTGATTTAACTTGGAGCCCTCCAACTTCATCTTGATACACAATCGTTATACAGCTCATATCAGTATGCATTCCTAGGCCTTCAGCTTCTTCTTCTTCTTCTAAACTTTCTGGAGGGGCATAGTTGTTAATTCTCAAATAGCCCTGACAGTTGCTGAACTCAGAATTATAGTACTTCATCTCAAATTCAGCTCCCAAGCTCATCAAGACAAGCTTCAGAACTTCTTTTGATATCTCTGTCATTTTTCTTCCATACTCCTGCAATATCTCACTGAAAATGAAAAACACGAGCATTTTCAAGAAGCCCTCTAAGAATACACAACAAAGAAGGGACTGGAAACATCAAATAAACAAATGTTACCTAAACTCACTGATGTTTGGTGCAGATAGGACCTCTGCAGAATCCTGAGCAGATGCAGCAAAATCTGGTCCAGAAACTCTAAGGCTCTCAAAGAATGGAGATGCAATGAAATGAGGAGTGTAAGTTTTCAAAGATGAAAAAGGGCCTAGCTTGAGTTTGGTCTCCGAAGGAAGGCTGAAGAGGTCTTTGGAGAGAGAGAGAATCTTGTCATACAGTTCCTTGGAGATCCCATGATTAGTTATCTGGAAGAATCCCCATTCACTGCAGGCTGCAGTCAAAGAGGACAGAGAGCATGAATCCAATGGCTTCGAGATATCCAAACTAGGTAGTTTTATGTTTGTCTGGGATTCAGAAATCATTGTCTAAAGCTAAGTAGAGTAGGTTAGTTTTGTCTGGATAGGATGGCTATAAAGCTAATAAGAAGGAAAGAGGTTTATAGGGGTATTAAGTACATATGCCTTTAAGCCCTCAAAACCTGATTATTGTTAACTATTTTTGGTACTCTAGACCATCACATGCATGCATAGGCACACATCAATATAATGGTTCAACTTTGGGAGCTCAATTTGGAATAACATATTGCATTAGAGTTGGAAATTAAGTGAGGACTGTATTTGTCTCTATGTGGAACAATATTAAAATGTTTGAATTGCTAAGTGCTAACATAATCAGCTCAAGCATGGGCCAATTCTAGGCGCTCCCCTATAACAAAGAGCGGAAAGTATGTGCAGTTGAGCATCTACAGCCAAGAAAACGTTGACTGAATATTTCCACCCGCGCATGGTTGTTCAGATCATGGAATTTGCTAGCGAAGTTAAGATCATCTCTCAAACACTTCAAAACCAAATAGGGTGCCAAGATTCAAGAGTTAAAGGATCGGGGGAGGACTGGAGGAGTCGTTGGGACTTAACAGTGATCTGTTTTCTAATGTGTTATAAGAACTGCAGGAATTGGTTTTTGACTACTATAATTTGGCATCAATGCAAAAGCTGGTGCAAATTAATGTCGAGACACCTGCATTAGTTAGTATGGCAGCCGATAACTCAGTCAAGAATATCGGTGACGGTCAAATTAGGTTGAGCATAGCTTTTGACTCTTTTCACACTTCACCTAGATTGATTAGTAAATTACCCTCCTTGATGCCTACAAAAAAAAAAAAAAAAAAAAAAGAAACTAGCCTCCTTGATCGATATAATTTCCATTCTGAAGTCAAATGTTTTGGTTTTGGGAAGGACCCTTTATATTTTCTATCAATTTGTTGAAGGATACATTTGGTTTTTTCCATTCATTCACCACATTGGACTAGAATCTCATGGGGTTGCAGCCCTTTTACTTCTTCCAGTGGGATAATAAATTGATTGTGTACAATTCTCCATAGAAGTCCTTGCTAGCACCTCCCTCACCAAGATGAACCATCACCTCGTGCAAAAGGGAACTAGACCAAATGAGTTCATATCCTGTTGCAGTTCATCAAAACCTGTTTAATTTGGAAGTGTAGTTATTTACAGCGATGACAAGTTAGTTCCTCAGACAATCTTATTAGGTAAAAACTTCAAAACCATTGCCGATTACTGCGATGTTGGGTTGATAATTGTAGTCATTATTGTGGAAAATGAGACAGCCGCCTTTCACACATCGGATGCCAAGATTTCTGCCGTCAATTCTCAAGTCAAGAATATCATAATTGTAGTTCAAAAAAGAAAGAACAAAAGGAGAATGATATAGGTGGACCAAATTATACAGAATTACTCCTGACAAATGAGTTTCTAATTTTTAATCCAAAACGTACTACTTAGTTTGGTGCACACTAAAATGTTCTTGATCATTGCAGCCTCCACTTTTTTACCAATAAAGACATTCCACTAACTGACAATTGCATATCCCCTCTCAACATTGTCAACACACGTTAGTCTCTTTCTTTGTTTCTCTTTTGTTTCAACATCAACTATTCTTACATTCTAGCTAATGAAAAGACTACATTAAAGTTATGATATTCTCCAAAGGAGATTTAAGTAATTATACTATTAGAGTACTTGTATATTTCCACCTTAGATAGATAGGCTCATGGCATATCCACCTTAGTGATGTGTGCATAGTTATATATATAATTTTTTTTTTGCTGATAAAGTAGTAATTTGTAATCTGTAGTTAGATTGAAACTTGAAAGGGTTTTATATATCTTTCTGTGACATCGTCTCCAACTCTCCACGAGGAAAAGGAATCATTTTCAACAAAAAATATACTGCAACGATTTGATGTATATAGGGTAAAAAGTAATTAAAAAAAATGTTCATGAAAAATGTAAACATTTTTAAGAAAAATAGCTTTTCGAACATGGCCATGAAAAAAACTATTATTTGCCTAGTCTTGGCAATTGGTGGGTGGATAGGTTGATTGTTAAGGGGGTTATTTTGCAGGTTGGAAAGAATTTGGGGGCCATGTAGTAGTTTTTAGTCCAAATCCAAAACAATCTCGGGGCTAAATGTAATTAATACTTACAATTAAAGGGCAAAAAAAAAAGCCCCCAAAAGGGAAAAAAAAAAGGAAAAGAATTTAAAAATAAAATTTTTGCTGATTGGGTGGTTTTAATGACCTTGAATTCAAAGGACGGCGGGACTGCAGGCGTCTCTCTCGTTCACCTGACAGCAATCTCTGTCTCTGGGCAATTCGATGCTTAGACCTTTAAAGACCTCCTCCGTGTGATACTTTCTTAGTCTGGAGAAGGTTGCCGAAGGAAGTGTCATATGTCCTCTCTTCTCCGAAATGCACGTGAACTGTTCGTGAAAATTCCCAAAAGGATTTCTCTTTTCCGAACCTCAACACGCGCCTTACTTCACAACTCGTCATGGCAAAACCACTCTTCTCTTCAAGAACTAGATGTTTCTGTGGAAGACGAAAATGTGGTGTCGTGGACGGCGCAAATATCCCATTTGGAGAGGGAAAACCAGCCAGAGCAAGCAATTGGGCTCTTCAAAACAATGCTTATGAGGGATCAAAAACCAAATTTTGTCACGGTTTTGAGCGTTATACGAGCAATTGGTCAATTGGGTTCCAAAAACATGGCTAGTATGATTCATGGTTTCGCCATAAAATTGGGATGTGATTCAGAACTACCCTTAGTAACGGGACTCCTCGGGGCTTACTCTTCTGGTTGGGATATTGGAGCTGTTAGGATACTGTTTGCTCTGACCCCAAACAAAGATGTAATTTTATGGAGTGCAATGGTTTCGGCGTGTGTAAAGAATGAGGAGTATGTGGAGGCCTTGAATATTTTTAGAAAAATGCAAAGTTGCGGTGTGCAACCAAACCGTGTGAGCATTGTTACTGTGCTTCCCGCATGCGCTAATCTTGGTACTTTGTGGTTAGGGAAAGAAATTCATGGTTTTTCTATTAAAAGAGACTTCTATTCTCATATTAATCTGCAGAATTCACTTGTCGATATGTACGCAAAGTGCAGACTTTGGAGTTACTCAGTGCAAGTTTCCAGCAGCATGCAAACAAAGGATGTTGTTTCTTGGAGGAGTATGATATGCGGATCTATCACGAATGAAAGTCCAGCAAGGACTTTGATTTTGTTCTCGCAGATGCGATCTTCTTGTGTTGAAGTTGATGTCAATACTGTTCGTGTAATAATAGTAGCATCTTCACAGTTGGAGGAGATTAAAGTTGGACTTGGACTACATGGACTTGCTCTGAAGATGGGATACGTGGAAGACATATCGCTCATGACTGCAATTCTTCAAATGTATGCTAACTTTGGGGAAATTGGGTCAGCAAAGACCTTGTTTGATTACCTAGACAATAAAGATCTTATTGCTTGGAGTGCGATGATCGCAGCTTATGTCCAAAATGAACAACCTTTTGATGCTTTCAAAGTGTATAGACAGATGCAATCAGCTGGTGAGAAGCCTAATGAGGTCACTTTTCTTAGTTTACTGCAATCTTGCTCCTCCATGACAGCTCAGGAAATTGGAGAAAGTATACATGCATATCTCTTAAAGGCTGGATATATGTTGAATGCATTTGTGACATCTGCATTAATCGACATGTATTGTAAGTTTGGAAGAACAAGGCAAGGAGTGGCTCTTTTTGATGAAAATCATAGCAGAGATCTTGTATGTTGGAGCTCGATGATCAATGGATATGGGATTAATGGATTGGGAGAGGAGGCTCTTCATTGCTTTTCAAACATGTTGCATTGTGGAGTAAAGCCCAATGATGTGGTTTTCATTTCTCTTCTGGCTGCTTGTAGCCATTGTGGCCTTGAATATGAGGGTTGGAGCTGGTTTTATGCAATGGGAGAGAAATTTGGCATAACTCCAAAACTTGCACATTATGCCTGCATGGTGGATATGCTTAGTCGTCAAGGGAACGTTGAAGAAGCTTTTGAATTCGTGAAGAAGATGCCCATCAATCCTGATAAACGGATATGGGGAGCAATTCTTGCTGGCTGTAGAGAAACTTGTGGATCTTCTGAAGTATCAGAAATAGCAGCCAGGCAACTTCTTAGTTTGGACCCGGAGAATGCCAGTTATCATGTATTTCTATCGAACTTATATGCAGAACAAGGCAGGTGGAAAGAGGCAGCAAAGTTGAGAGAATTGGTGGATTCAAGGGGATTGAAGAAAGAGATCGGTCATAGTATGATTTAATGCACATACATACTGATGGAGGTGATCAAGTCCAGACCTCTGAATTGCACAGGATACATATACATTATAGGTTATTAGCTGGCAATAAAAACTTTTAACATATCGTCTTATCCTTAGTAACTGGCAATAATAATCTTTAACAAATTATCTTATCCTTAGTTAATCTTGAATGTCCCTTAGTTTATTCATTTCGGTTTCCAAAATGCTTCATAACTTATAAGCCCTCCACCATTATGATTTCCAACAGCTAGCTCCTCTGACAATTTTATCACACACACTGTGCATCAATGGAGCAAAGTAACTGACCAACAAATTTATTTGCTCATTAAAGCTTGATTCAACATGAAATGTGACTCATCTAGTAATTAATACTACAATATGTCATAAATTCATCTATTCTCTGCATGAGATAGAGAGAGGGAGAACGTTAATTTTAGCCTCGAAACGTGAATTAAGTTTCAACATCCCAGCATAAATTGTCATAATGCATGCAACAGAAACTGATGTCCAGCCTCCTTTGCATAAGAAGCAGGGATGGCAGAACAATTCTTTTTTCTCTTCTGTAATGGGAGGAACACTTGAAGTACTTCTTGTTAGTGCTGAAGGCATTAGGCACACTAACATAGTAGGTAATCTTTTTTAGGAGACATGAACATAAAAGTTTAATAGTTCTGATTAACTTTTTTTCTTGATAATATTGAGCTTTACAACAATAGTGGAGTTTTGAACCTTTTGAGCTTATGATTCTTGGACAGGGAAACCAACCTACTATGTAATTCTTGAGTGCAGAGATCAAGTTCACCAAAGTAAAACATCTAGAGGTACAATTTTCTGGTAGGTTTTTCCAGATTTTTAGCCTTCCATTCCACAGAGACGATGTTTCTTGATTTGTCCTGATGTAGAAGTTCAGTGCTGCAGGTCACGAAGAAGTTTTCTGGAACGAAAAATTTACATTTGACTTGCCAGAGCGGGGAACGGACGACGAGATCTACCTCAAACTTAAAATCATGGATGAAGAATTTTTCTCACGTGGTGCATTTGTAGGCCAAACAACGTACAGAAAATTCAACTGCCTGGAAAACAATTTCCTAAAATTTTGCACTCTACCCCATGATTCTCATTAGTTCTTCTTTTTAAGCTTCTCTTGTTTCAACAATGACCAAGTTAAATCAATATAACTTTCCAAGTCTATGTTATATTGCACCATGAGGAAAAAATGATTATACCATCAGAAACTACTAAATTATATGTATTACTAAGTCATCCTATTTTGCATACCACATGTAGTGACCTGTTAATTATATGTGCTAATTTGCTGTTCTTTAGTATCTTCCTCAAAGGTATAATCGTGGAGGGGAAAGACAAAGGAATCATAGAAGTGAAACCAGCTCCATACAATGTTGTTCTTGATGATGACACTTTTAAAGGGCAGATAAGTATCGGACTCAAATACTCTGCAAATGCTGCAAATGTAAGTAATAAATACATGCATGCACTCGTATTATATGTATATGTATCTATCTTCATTTGCATGAAAATCTACCTAGTGAATTCAGCATTTACACTACCTGAATCACCTGGGATTCACTCTAAGTACTGCTATTACTGGTACATTTTTCAGCCTAAAATACAACAAATAGAGAGAAGGCAAGGTGAAGCGGATGAGAATGGAGAGAAGGGATCAGTTGGCCTCTCCATATGCAGTTCTATAGCAACTTTCTGGCGAAATCCCTGGTGGAGGTTCTTGTTTCGCTCTAAGAAGTCAAAATCCAGAGAGAAACAGAAGCGAAACTAATTAGGGCGTTGCCATGCTTTGGAATCCAGCTTAATCATGTGATGCACCAAGTCAAGGAGAAAATTATACACGCTAAACTCCTAAAGGATCTGATTTTGTGTCCATGTTTTAGATCCATTAACAATCAGATCAGCTAATGCTTTCCTCAGGAGGGGAAAAAATTTGCTAAGGCTTTAAATGTCTGTTTATTATTCCGAAAAGGGAAAATAACCTGTTTCATCCTTCACATTTCGCAAAAATATTCTTTTCGTCCCTCACTTTTAAAATGAAGCAAATTCGTCCCTGACATTTAAAAATTAAAGCTATTACACCGCAACGGATCTTCTGTACCACACCCTGTCTCACATCCTGTCCACTCCTTAAAATCTCACCAAGTGTCCCTTAATAAACCAAACCCTCAAACAACTCAACTCAGACCATATTAAGTTAATTAATCGATTAACCGGACAAAGAAATTTAATCTCTTTAACCAATATAACCAAAACCAAGAAAAATAAAAACTCTTTAACCAAAATCACAATTTTTCAACGGAAAAAAACCCTAAAATATTAAAAAACCTCTGTCCGAGTTCATCATCTTCACCATTCAGCTTTGACGAAATATTCACGGATAAAACTTCGAAGCTCTTCCCAGAGGTGAGAAACAAGTTATTTCTTAAAAACCTTGGTGGGGTTCTTCGAAGCTCTTCGCAGGCCAATTTGATGTGACTTGCTAAGCTTAGGCACTTGATCTAGTTTTCAGCTTCAAATTGGTCTGTTGATACACACCTTTGAATTAGTTTTGCTATATCCTCAATTGCAGGGAAGAAGTAAGAAATTGGTTATATTCTCTAGTGTCTCTGTTTTAGTGTTTTGGAACTTAGGTGTAGATGATTTTGGGAGGGTAACAAGTTTGCGTTTATCTTTTGCTGATTGAGGGAATTTTTCTTCTAATTTGCAGCTTCCAGTCTGAATGTTTCATCTGTTAAATTGTCTGAAAATTCGGTATCCAAGTAAGGAAAACCTTGATTAATTATTTAATCTTATATATATTAGTTTGATAATTTACAATTATAATTCAATATATTTGCTAACTTTGGGTCTGTTTTTGTAGGCGCAAGAACTTGAAAATAATGATGATTCTGATCAACAAGTTGTTGAAAATGGGAAAATTGAATGAAGATGCTTATGAAGAAATGGAGGACAAGACTGTGGGATTGCGCTCATGGATTAATTAGACCTTTAAGTGGAATAATACTTTGTGCTTATACTTATTGATTTTGATATTTTTGTTCAAATATCTGTTAATAAACGTTCTTCTGACTAAACTGTAGAACATGAGATATATTAGTTGAGCTGCCCTGGATTCTTGATGCATACAAGAAATCGTCTTTTGAATGTTCCTCAGCTTTGCATTTGTTTAACCATACAATAAGAAAACCCAGATTTTTGTTTGGCTTTTAGATTAATTTTGTAACTTGAGTAGACAGAAATTAGAGAAAACCAGCAAAATAAAGCTGCATTTTCGTTCCTTTTTTTTTTCTTCTTCTTTAATGTTTGAGCTACCACGCTATTTTTTCAATGTCAGTAAGATTTTGCATCGGACTTTATTCTGCAGGAGAGAGGCTTGTCTTAAGATTGATCCTTAGACTCACAAGTCAAACAACTAAAGCTTATAACCTTACCAAGGTACTCCGAAAACTTGTTCTCTGATTCTAAACAACTCGGGACCAATCTCGTATTTGACTGTTGACACCAAATTGTATATATAATCCGTATAACAATGCTGAAATTCCCGAAACATGTCCATAAACCAGGCCCTGTACACCTTTGCACCCTTCTCTTTAGCACATTGAGCCATCCAACTCACAGACTGGCTCTCATGGTCAAACATATTCAACAGCCTCTTGTTCGAATGGGAAGGATAAGATTCAGCAACAATTTAAATGCAGATCCTCTACTAATAGTAAAAACAAGTACAAACTCATTCTCAAGAATGTTCAAGTAATCCATAATTTTGGTTTTAATATCATGCTCCACAGTACCTTCCTCTGCACCCCAATGAAGTACATGATTGCTCAAATTTGCAGTAATTTCCTTTAAGCTAAATATAGATGAATCCCAATACTGTAGCGTTTGAAAACAAGAAAACAACCCGTACAAAGTCAATTCTCAAATGGTCAATTGTTTCTCAACATTGGAACTTTGGGTACAAAGTCAAGAACCAACAAGAAGGCTTCATTAAAGCCAGGAATGGATTCTTCAATGCAAAATGTCCTTTCAGACAAAAGAGTAGTTGCCCTCAAGAATTCCTTCTGGGCATTAAGCCTTGCAAGAGATATTGACCTTCCCAAGCAGCCATCTTGATTCAAAGACTCAGAGTGAATTTCATGTGTTTTTACGAAGTGACCCATCTTCAGAAGCCTCCTCGAGAGCCTCCCTTAGTTTGTTCTCCGGCGAATTCTTGAGAGTTGATGGCTCTGCCTTACCCCACTCCTCCTCCTCCTCCTCCTCCACGCAAGAACCTTTTCCTCTCCTGCTCTTCTTGTCCATCATCAAGGTTGCACAGAATGATATAGGCTTCCATAGTCTCAGATGCAGTAACACGAATCAGTTCCAGTTGACTGCAAAAACCTATCATCATATCAGATACCCCTGCAGTATTAGGGAAAAAGTTACAAGCTTTACATGATTGAAGCTTCATTATGCATAACATTCTGCAAATAAGAGATTACAATTATCTAAGTTACATAATTTTCATAAACATTGAACTTTGTAAACAGTAACAATGAAGTGAATGAATACATAAACCCTGTAACTAGTCACACTAATGCATGTCAAGATGGCACCTCTATCCATATAGACCAAAACCAGAAAACCATTTGAGAAAACAGTGATCACACATGTTTCTTGGCTTTAATTCATAGTTACAGAATAAAAAAAAGGGCTTTTTTTTTAATCAAGATTATGAATCAAAGACCATCCATTCATTGTTGACCAATAATAACTTGTTTCTCACCTCTGGGAAGAGCTTCGAAGTTTTATCCGTGAATATTTCGTCAAAGCTGAATGGTGAAGATGATGAACTCGGACAGAGGTTTTTTAATATTTTAGGGTTTTTTTCCGTTGAAAAATTGTGATTTTGGTTAAAGAGTTTTTATTTTTCTTGGTTTTGGTTATATTGGTTAAAGAGATTAAATTTCTTTGTCCGGTTAATCGATTAATTAACTTAATATGGTCTGAGTTGAGTTGTTTGAGGGTTTGGTTTATTAAGGGACACTTGGCGAGATTTTAAGGAGTGGGACAGGATGTGAGACAGGGTGTGGTACAGAAGATCCGTTGCGCTATTACACCCCTGAACCTAATTTTCAATCTGAATCAAACCATTCAATAACCCAGTAATAAATTTCGAAAATAGAATTGATAGATAACTCGATCAATTTCATCATATTCACAGGACATTTATTAAATCAAAAAAAATAAAAATTATAACATGAAAGACCATTCTTTGTCTTGGAATAGTAGAGTTTTTTTTTGGGTAAATCTTTTCATACACTGTTAGTATATCGACTTGCGAATCTAGATGTGTATCATAAATACAAAATTTGATATTTAAATTTAAATTGAAATGATATGCGATACATAAGACCGTCAGTGTATACAATGATAATATAGGAAAGATTAATCTTTCTTTTTTATGTTATAATTTTTACTTTTTATTTTTGGGTTCACTAAATTTTACATGAATATCAAGTTGAGTTAACTAAGTAATTTATCAATTAGACCCCTAAATTTTGTAATCAGGTTGATTGGTGGTTTGATTCAGATTGAAATTTGGGGATGTAAGAACTTCAGTTTTTAAATGTCAAGGACGAAATTGCTTCCTTTTAAAAGTGAAGGATGAAAAAAATATTTTTGTGAAATGTGAAGGATGAAACCGATCATTTTCCCTTCCGAAAAATAGTGTCATAATTACTTGGACAAGTTCTTCTTGCTTTCGGTCAACTGTGTTGCAGCATATTCAATCTAGTAGTGAATAGAAGTTTCTAATGCTCCCTCTTTTTGGTCTACTCCTTTCTCTTCTCTTTTTTTTTTTTTTTTTTTTTTTTTTTTAATTTTTGGTTAGAAGTTCACAATCGATAATATCTTAAATTGAGGCCTTGTTGGATAACTCTAATTAATGCTGAAAATTAACTCTTTGAATTCAGCATGTCTGTTGTCTCACCACTTAATGTGTTAAATGCTGCTTAATTTGTGTACAACTTTTCAATCGAAAATTTTTCACTGAATTTTCTAAATTGACTACATATATTACTATAACTCTCGCACATATAGCACGCTCTCATGCATGCTCTTGCACAAAAAAACACATTTGTATTCTTTCTATTTAACACACGCGCTCGCGCAGACAAATATGCATTCTCACGCACAAGTATGCATCACTTCTGAATTGTTTTATTATTTTTTCTCTTTTTCACATACACGCATTTTTCTTCCTCTCTAAACACACAAATAAAGGCAATTTTTTTAAAAGATAAAATATAATAATATTTTTGCAATACTTTAATTCAGTATTATAATTCTTATTAAACTTAATCAATGGGGATTTAGCAAGTCAGAAATCTGGTAACTGGTAAGATTCCAGATGAGATTGCAAGATTAGCAACATAGTAATGGGCCTAAAAGGCCACTGGCCCATCATATGGTTGTTCAGGGAAAGCATGGGCTTCCTTCCCCAAGAAATGGAAACGCACCTAAACCGAATGGGAGACCCCCACATCGTCGTCAGGACTTTATAGCAGTCTTGATGAAGCTAGAGTTTCAGAACTGTTCCCGCTTTCTTTAGAACCTAAATCAAGAAATTCAGAGGAAAAAATTACTGAAAAAAGAAATATGAGCGTTATAGAATATCTAACAGAACATATTTGTAAAATAAAATGAGTGACTCTGAAGATAACTTCACCTGTCTCTCAGATTTTGAAATAGAAAAAATAAGTAATAAACTTGACTAAATGTGTCAAATTTCTGAATCGTTAAAAGCTTTAATTATGATTAGCCCTTTGTTCATCTCCTTAACTACGTCCATTGAGATCAAATTATTTATTTAAATTCATTAACTATTTGTTCTATATTTAGATTTTGTTAAATTCATCCGATCAAGGATAAACTCTATGAGTATTTTATACCTTACA